GCTGCCTTTTGAAAATTGCTTTTCAGCTCTTCTATTTCATCATTTCTTCCTTTTACTTTAGCTGCTCCACATTCAAAAATAAGTTTCCCTGTCTTTTTAATGACCTTTTACTTTCTTTTAATGTGTGATGTTCTTGATGTCATCTACACCTTGATGTCATCTTCGTCCATTGGTGTATCAAATCTATTCTTGAGATGGTCTGTAAATTCTAGTGGGATATACACAAGATCATAATACTTTGACTCCTGTGGATTTCTAAATTTTCTTCAGCTCAATCTGAACTTGTATATGAGCAACTGTTGGTCTGTTACACAGTCGATCCTGACCTTGTTCTGACTAATGATATTCAGCTTCTCCATTCCATAGATGTACTTGATTTGGTTCCTGTATATTCCATCAGGTTAGGTCCACATGCACAGTCACCAATTATATTGTTGAAAAGGTATTTACAGTGACTAAATCTGACAAAATTCTATCATATGATCTCCGGCATTATTTCTGTCACCAAGGCCCTATTTTCCAACTACTGATTGATCCTCCTTTATGTGTTTTTTTTTTTAACCTCCTTTTTTTTTTTTTAAGTGTATTTGTCTTAATTACCTTCACTCAATTCACAATAAAAAGTTTAATTTTTGTTTTAATTTTTTATTGTGGCTTGTCGGAAAGCTTACTGGGCAAATTATTATTCTATTCACAATTTATAGACATTTTGTTTTATAATATTAGTTGTTCTTCCCTCAGTCTAACAGCACTCTCCCCACTTCCTCCCTGGGTTCCCCATTTACATTTGTCCTCTTTCCTGCCCTTCCTACCTTCAGAGCTTTGTTTGGGACACCATTGTCCTTTTGTTCTCATAGGGTGAATTGTTCTGTGGTGTACTTTCCTCACTAATGCCATTGCCATTCTATAAGCCTATCTGATGTTTGGCTGAAAGGTGATCACTAGGGGTTGGTCCCAGTCCAGGTTTGAAAGGTGTAAGTGCCTCTTGGAGATTCAACCAGTCTCTGTCAGACCAGTACGTCTAGTCATTTTATTATTTTGAATTTTGTTTTACATTTTTCTACCACTCAGTCTAGGACTTCCTTTCACATTCCAATCACCAGTAATTATCAGTGTATCTTGATTGCATGATTGATCAATTTCAGACAGCAGAAGTTGGTAAAAAATCTTCAGTTTCTTCATTTTTGTCATTAGTGGTTTGGGCATAAATTTGAATAATAGTCTTATAACTTAATTTCCTTGTAGGCATATGAATGTTATCCTATCATTGACAGCATTGCATGTCCTGATTAGAAGCTTGCAAACCTCTTTGATGATGAATGTGATGCTATCCCTCTTCAATTTGTCATTCTTGGCATAGTAGACTGTATAATTAATCTGAGTCAAAATGGTCAACTGGTGCATTTCAGTTCACTAATGCCTAGGTTAGCAATCTTTATGCATTCCATTTCATTTTTGATAACTTCTAGTTTTTCTTGATTCCTACTTCATACATTTCATGACCCAATTATTAATTAATGTATATAGTAGCTTCTTTTCATTTTGAGTCATGCTGCATCCACAAATGAAGGTCCTGAAAGCTTTACTCCATCCTTGTTACTAAAATAGTCTCTACTAGAGGAGGCGTTCTATGAAGAAAAACGTGGCATCAGGATTGGAGGAAGACTCATTAACAACCTGCGATATGCAGATGATACAACCTTGCTTGTTGAAAGTCAACAGGACTTAAAATACTGATGAAGATCAAAGAGCACAGCCTTTGGTATGGATTACATCTCAACGTCAAGAAAACAAAAATCCTCACCACTGGACCAATAAACAACATTCTTATCAATGGAGAAAAGATTGAAGTTGTCAAGGACTTCATTCTTCTTGGATCAACTATCAACACTCGCGGAAGTAGCAGTCAAGAGATCAGACGACGTATTGCACTGGGCAAATCTGCTGCACAAGAACTTTTTAAAGTGTTGAAGAGTAGAGATGTCAGCTGGAGGACTAGGATGCGCCTGACCCAGGCCATTGTGTTTTCAATAGCCTCATATGGATGCGAAAGCTGGACAGTGAATAAGGATGATCGTAAAAGAATTGATGCCTTTGAGTTGTGGTGTTGGAGGAGAATACTGAAAGTGCCATGGACTGCCAAAAGAACCAATAAATCTGTTTTGGAAGAAGTGCAGCCAGAGTGCTCCTTGGAGGCCAGGATGGCTAAACTTCATCTCTCCTACTTTGGACATATTGTCCGGAGGAAACAATCGCTGGAGAAGGATGTCATGCTGGGTAGGGTGGAGGGTCAGAGAAAAAGAGGAAGACCCCCAACGAGATGGATCAGCCAGGTGGCATCATTGATGGACTCAGGTGTGGCAACGGTAGTGAGGTTGGCCCAGGATCGAACATTGTTTTGTTCTGCTGTGCATGGAGTCGCTATGAGTCGGTTCCGACTCGATGGCACCTGACAACAACAACAACAACAGAGGAGGCAGCTCTTACCCAATTGTATTTTGAGTGCCTTCCAGCCTGAGGTACTCATCTTCTGGCACTGTTATCGGATCAGACATTGTTCCACTGTTACTCATAGGGTTTTTGTTGGTCAATTTTTTTTCAGAAGTAGATCACTAGGTCTTTTTTCCCAGTTTGCCTTAGTCTGAAAGTTCTGCCAAAATCTGTCGACCATGGGTGACCCTACCAATGGCGTAGCTTCCAGCATCACAGCAACACACAAATTACCACACAAACTGACAAATGAATTGTAAAGAGTTGAATTGGTAAAAGTTATGTTATAGACATATTTACAACAATGACCACAAAAAGAGTAGCTGCTTGTGGTTTCATGGGATATCCCAATTAATTGGCCTGATAACATATTTAGTGTTTCAGTTCTACCACTTAGTGACTGGCATCTTAGAAGCTTGCAAACATTCATCCCAGGCACAATAATTGGTTTTTATTTGTCTGGAAGAAGGAGCATCAGGAATAAAGGAGGATATGGATTAATTGGCTCCAGCTGCCTCCTTCGCCATGAGACCAGAAGAATTGCATGGTGCCCAACTACCATTACAGAACATTTTGATAGAAGATTCTGTAGAATTATGATCAAAAGGCGGGAAATGCAGAACAGAATTTCAAATTCTCATGGACTCCAGACTTCGTAGAGCCGTGAGATTGAATATGAAATAATGTCCTTCCAAAAATAACCCCTGAAGTCTTCCTAAAACCAAGCAGTACGTTAGCTTAGCTAGTAAAAAAAAAAAAAAAAAAAAAATGCCTGCCTTGAATATAATGCTCTTTTTTTGAATGTTTTATTGTGAATTATGTGATAGTTTACATGGGAGAACATTTAGCTTTACATTCATCCTATTGTATATCATTTCATTGCCATGATTACAATCCCCTCCATGCATCATCAGCCAACCCTGCGAGCCTGCCGCCCAGTCGTCAGCACACAGACCCTCTCCCTCTGGTTCTAAAGTCTCCAGCCGCTCCATCTCTCCACGTCATTGTCTCTGTCTCCATCTCTAGCATCACTGCTTGTCTGGGTAGGGTCCTGCTTTCCATTCTCCCTTGATGGTCCCAGGGCCCTCCGCTCCTAGACTGCAAAGTTAATCACTCCCCTCCTTGCTACAAAAACGTCTACCTTTACATTTCCAACCCTCACAATTAGTCCTGATAACAATTATTCACTATTGTATCACAAGAGACCTATCTGCATTTCCTTTCATCAGCCCCGCCTAGAAAGATTGGGTACTATTCAGTGGAAATTATACCTTCCTCCATGCCCTCTGGATCTAGATTCCTTCTTGAAAGCCTGTAAACCAATCACCTCTTGCCTTTGAAGCCCCCCATTTTGGGTAGCCAATGTCCAAGTTGCCCATCCCTGTTTACACTGTGTACCGAGGGGGTGGGAATGATCCTCGCTGTAAAGATTTGTTCCCTCTTTTGAGCTACTGTATACAGAGGTGTAGGTCAAGTTCATCAAACTGTATCAGATTACTCTTTTTATCCCTCTTCTTTCTTCTTCTAGTTAAGCTCTGATCATGCAGTCATTGAAGCCAATGGTCAAGTGGGTATTAGCTGCAAGTGTGGGTGTTCTTGTGCATATGCCCTCTCTTCTTATCAACTGGATGCTTCACTCTCCACTCTAGTCCTCTGTCGCTATTGAGTATAATGCTTTTTTAAGAGGCTTCTGTGGGATTAAATTGACAACAGCACTTTGAAAGATGAGGTAGGAGCCTTAGGGAGAAGTAAATATATGTTAATGAAAGAGGAAGAATTCAAAAAAGGAGGGTGGGAATGTTTGCATAAATCAAAGAATGTTATCGGTGCCAGTATCTGGTACCTGTAGAAACTGTTGAATTGTTGAATGTTTTGTTGTGTATATCCTCAGCAACAACAGCAAAATAAATAAACTAAAAGAAAAGCCATGCAATAAATCTTGATGTTTTCATGTAAGATTTTCAGGCTCAAAAGCAGTGGTAATTTTGTGATGTTTAACTTTGCATTTAAATAACTTTGGGAAATTTTCTTCCCTGATAGATTTTATTACATTAAAAATAAACAAATATTCACAGTCTATAAAGACTTTGTTGCTGTTGTTAGGTGCCTTGGAGTCAGTTTCATCTCATAGAGACTTTATGCCCAACAGAACGAGCAGTTCGACACTGTCCTGTGTGGCTACTGTGAGTTGGAATCAACTTGACAGCAATGAGAGTTTGAGTCTTTGTTTTCGGATGCATTTCTGTAGCTTGCAAAATTAAAAGATTTTAAACCATGTCTCTGTGAATAGGAGAAAGTGTAATGTAATGCTCCTATCTTCCAATGCAGCTTTATCGTTTAAGAGATTCCTTATAAAATGCCATATGATACCACTTTAAGGGAAAGGGGAGGTGAGGTAAATTATATTTGCCTTGGCTGAGGTAAATTATATTTGTTTTTACACTGTGGTATTGTTTCTTTTCATTCCTTTTAAGCGCTATATTGTGATGTGTTCGTTTGTGTGTTTGTAGTGTGTGCAGAAGCCTATAATCCGGATGAAGAAGAAGATGATGCAGAGTCCCGGGTATGTTGCCTACTGATAAATCCATTTTACATTGGTATTGTTGTATCGTACAAGGAAAATGATCATGGAAAAGATGTAAACAGCCATAGGTTTGCAGGAGACAGCTCATTCTTTTGACTACTGTAGTTTTACAAAAAAGACTGTGAGTTACATGTTGTCTCCCTAACTACCCCCTCTCCCACAGTATTTCCGTCAGCAATATTCATGCTCAGAAAATACCTTGTGGGGAGGGCACAGTTGTCAAAAACAAACAATACTCACATTCTTTCTTTCTTATCTTATCTCTGAGAGTCTACTTCTACTTGAAGTTCTGTAGAATTACTTTTATCCAAAGAATATCTCTTTGGTATATTGTGAGGCCTCTGGGAAGGAGCCTGTCTTTGGAGACTAGGAGTATTTCTTTTTGGATAAAAGGAGAGATGAATACAAAAACTCACTGTAGTTGTAGTCTAACAACGAACAAATGTTGTGTTTTTCATAGTGATAATGTTATTTTTGTATGACAGCATTTCTAGTAAAGAAAAATACTGGAAAAAAAAAGCCTTCTGTTTCTACAATAACAACAGAAGTTTACTCTGAAACAAACGAATCACAGTGAGTTCACATATAATGTATTGTTTTTGTTGTTACTAAATGCTGCCAAGTTGGTTCTGAGAATCGTTACCTTGTGTTTAGCAGCTCAGTGCTTATGCGACAGCACCATATCAGGATGTCAATATAATGTATTTATTATTGTTGTTGTTAAGTGTGGTCGAGTTGTTTCCTACTCATAGTGACCCTGTATAGGGTTTCGGAAGCTGAAAATCTTTGTGGGAGCATCTTTCTCCCACATGTTGTTGTTAGGTGCTGCCAAGTTAAGTCCCAACTCATAGTGACCTCATGCCCAATAGAATGAAACCCTGCCTGGTCCTGCACTAGCCTCACAGTCATTGCTACACGTGAGTCCATTGCTGCTGCCATTGTGCCATCCCATCTTGGGGTCGTCTTCTTTTTTGCTGACCCTCCACTTTACCAAGCATGATGTTTTTCTTCAAGGATTGGTCACTCCTGATAATATGTCTGAAGTATGAGAGACCAACTCTGACTATCCTGGCTTCTAAGGAGCATTCTAGCTATACTTCTTCCAACACAAATTGTTCTTCTGGCAGTCCATGGTACTTTTAATATTCTCCTCCAACACCACTCCTCCAACACCATAGCTCAAATGTATCAATTCTTCTACAGTCTTCCTTACTCATTGTCCATATGAAACTATTGAAAATACCATAGCTTGGATCAGGTACATCTAAGTCCTCAAACTACCATCTATGTATGCTCTTGAACACTTTAAAGAGGTCTTGTTCAACAGGTTTGCCCAATATACTATGTCATTTGATTTTTTGACTGCTGCTTTCATGAGTGTTGATGGTTGAACCAAGCAAATGAAGTCTTTGACAACTTTAATCTTTTCTCCATTTATATGGATGTTGTTTATTGGTTCAGTTGTGAGGATTTTTGTTTTTCTTTACATTGAGGTGCAACACATACTGGAGACTGTGGTCTTTGATCTTCATCAGTAAGTATTTTAAGTCCTCTTTGCTTTCCGCAAGCAAAGTTGTATCATCTGCATATTGTTGTTAAGTGCCATCAAGTCGGTTCCGACCCACAGCGACCCTCTTTAAGGTTTCCAAGGAGCAGCTGGTGAGCTTGAATAGCAGGTTGTTAATGAGTCTTCCTCTAATGCTGATTCCACATTCTTCATGTGATCCGTCTTCTTGGATCATTTGCTCAGCATACAGACTGAATAAGTATGATGAAAGCATTCAACCCTGGCACACACCTTTCCTGATTTAAAACCATTCCATGTCCTCCTTGTTCTGCTGGAACACTGCCTCTTGGTTTATGTATAGGTTTCTCATGAGCACATTATAAGTGTTCTGAAAGATTCATTCTTGGCAATGTGGTCCATAGCTTGTCATGATCCACACAGTCAAAAGCCTTTCTATAATCAATAAAGCACAGGTAAACATCTTTCTGGTATTCTCTGCTTTCAGCCAAGATCCTTCTGATGTCAGCAATTATACCCTTGTTGTAGTTATAATCTAAGAAATATAAGAGATATGACAGATAACAGTGGTATTAAAAGACTGGTAAATTACAGATGAAAGAAAAAAAGGAGGAAATAAGAGTTTATATTTGAAAATTGTTAAAATTCAATAAGAGTTCGACTTTTTATTTACTCCTTTAAATTGGGAAAGTGTTTCAACAGAATCCAGTTCTGTTGTACAGTTAGAGAAGTCTACTTAACACATCCTTTGTAGGACAACCCCCACCCCCGAGAGAAACTTGCTAAGTATGACTTAAACTGTCATACTTTTTAGTCCCCCATAATATTTGGGAATAATTCCTACAACATAATCTAAAATGTAGACAAATGTTAATCCTTTAAGATGTTTTTTGCAGTGTTGTTTTAGTAGGGAAATGCTGGAAGCCAGCTAAACATCCACCATGAAAAGAATGGTTAATTGTAACAAATGATAAATAATCAACTGTCCCTAAACACACACAGTGTTTACAAAATGTTTCTAATGCCATGGGAAATTCTAAAAAGTGTGATATGAAAAAAGGCCTTTAAAAGTGTGTGTGCAGTATAACTCAATTAAAAATAAAGACTGAAAGGAAATAGACAAAATGTTTATAGTATTTGTTTCTGGGAGATTGTTGTTGTTGTTGTTAGTTGCCATCGAGTCGGTACCAACCCATAGTGACCTTATGCACAGCAGAACGAAACACTGCCTGATTCTGGGCCAGCCTCATTACTGTTGCCACTCTTGAGTCCATCGATGCTGCCACTTGGCCATTCCATCTCATTGGGGGTCTTCCTCTTTTTCTCTGACCCTCCACCTTACCAAGCATGATATCCTTCTCCACTTGACTGGTCCCTCCTGACAATATGTCTGAAGTATGAGAGATGAAGTTTGGCCATCTTGGCCTCCAAGGAGCACTCTGGCTGCACTTCTTCCAAAATGGATCTATTGGTTCTTTTGACAGCCCATGGCACTTCCAATATTCTCCTCCAACACCATAACTCAAAAGCATCAATTCTTCTACAGTCTCCCTTATTCACTGTCCAGCTTTCGCATGAATAGAGTTTATGGAAAATACTATGGCTTGAGTCAGGCACACCCTAGTCCTCAAGCTGACATCTTTGCTCTTCAGCACTTTAAAAAGGTCTTGTGCAGCAGATTTGCCTAATGCAATATGTCATTTGATTTCTTGACTGCTGCTTCCTTGAGTGTTGATAGTTGATCCAAGAAGAATGAAGTCCTTGACAACTTCAATCTTTTCTCCATTTATATGGATGTTGTTTATTGGTTCAGTTGTGAGGATTTTTGTTTTCTTTACATAGAGATGCAATCCATACCGAAGGCTGTGCTCTTTCATCTTCATCAGTAAATATTTTAAGTCCTCTTCACTTTCAGCAAGCAAGGTTGTATCATCTGCATTTTGCAGATTGTTACTGAGTCTTCCTCCAATCCTGATTCCACATTTTTCTTCATAGAACCCAGCTTCTTGGATTATTTGCTCAGCATACAAGTTGAATAAGTATGGTGAAAGAATACAACCTTGTCGCACACCTTTTTTAATTTTAAACCATTCAGTGTTACCATGTTCTGTTCGCACAACTGCTTCTTGGTCTAAGTACAAATTCCTCATAAGCACAATTAAGTGTTCCCGAATACTCATACTTCGTAATGTTATCCATAGCTTGTTATGATCCACACAATTGAAAGGCTTTGCATAGTCAATAAAGCACAGGTAAACATCTTTCTGATAGTCTCTGATTTCAGCCAAGATCCATCAGACATCAGCAATGATATCCCTCATTCCACAACCTCTTCTGAATCCGGCTTGAACCTCTGGAAGTTCTCTGGGAGATTATATGATGAATAATTCATGAAAATCATTCATAATTATGATATTAATCCTTTCATAACAGTTTATACATTTTTTCACAGTTCTTTTAGTTAATTTTTAGATCTTATGTATTTCTATATCCTTGGTGGTGCAATGGTTTGGTTAAGCACTGGGCTGCTAATCGTAAGGTTGGAGGTTCAAACCCACTAGCTGGGAAAGATGAGTTTGTCTGCTCTCATAATGATTCTCATTTCACATCGTAATCTGAATCCAGTTTGAACCTCTGGCAGTTCCCTGTCAATGTACTGTTGCAGTCATTTTTTAATTATCTTGAGTAAAATTTTACTTGAATGTGATATTAATGATATTGTCCGATGGTTTCCACATTCCGTTGAGTCACTTTTCTTTGGCTTGGATACAAATATGGATCTTTTCCAGTCAGTTGGCCAGGTAGCTATCTTTCAAATTTCTTGACATAGTTGAGTGAGTACCTCCAGTGCAGCCTCAGTTTGTCGAAAAATTTCAGTTTGTATCCCATAGATTCCCAGAGACTTGTTCTTGCCAATGTCTTCAGTGTAGCTTGGACTTCTTCCTTCAGTATCATTGGCTCTTCATCGTATGCTACCTTTTGAAATGGTTGAACACCGACCATGTCTTTTTGGTACCGTGACTGTGTATTCCTTCCATCTTCTTTTCATGCTTTCTTGATGTCATCCCATAATTTGTATGGTCTTCAGTCATTAGTATCTAATGCATCAGATCTGTTCTTTGGATTATTCTAAATTCAGGTATGCGTTTGAGGTTCTGAGTGAAGACAGGCGTGTTTGGACTGTGGCCGTGGCATAGGTGAGCAAGGAATGAGTTTTCAGTAAATGTGGTAGAATCCGTTGAAGCTGAAGAATTGGGTATTCTGATTTAAGTTTTTAAAAGATTACCTTCAGCTGCGTGGGAACGTAGTTTGAACAAATAGGAAAATCTCGTATAAGTATTACTTAACAGATATATCTTAACACATATGTCTGATATTTCTTAACAGATATATCGTATTTTCTTTAAATAAAAGATCTAAGTAAATCTTAGATCTTAATTGGATTTCTCATTTTCTTGGTTGAAAGGCAGCGCAGCATCTTTGAAGTGGAGTCAGCACACCTCTGTAAAGGACTAAACAATAAATACTTTAGACTTGGAGACTTCAGCATTCTCTGTTGCAGCTCCTCAACTCCGCTGTCGTGGCTTGAAAGCAACTGTAACTTATATAATGAAATGAATGTGACTGTGTTCCAATAAAACTTTATTATGGACACTGGAATTTGAATTTCATGTAATTTTCATGTGTCACACAATATTATTCATGTTGATTTTCTTTTTCAATCACTAAGAAAATAAAAAACCAATTCTAGCTCAGAGCTATACATAAACAGATATGGCCCACAGGTCGTAGTTTACTGACTTTTGGCTTAGAGTATAAACTGGGTACCCAGCCTGCCTGGGATGAATCTGGCTTTGCAGCTGATGGGCTGCATGTCATTGGAAAGTTAATTTGCTGAATTCATTTCTTGAATCTAAATTGGCACCTGGTCTCTTGATGTTAAGTATCACCTTGGGCCAGTTCCCGCTCATAGCCGATTCTGTATACAACAGAACCAAACTCTACCTCCTGGTTATGCACTGCCCTCACAGTTGTTAATGTTTGATCCCATAACATATTGGTTACGTTTGGCACAGCCACTATGCCAATCCATTTCGTTGACTGTCTGTCTCTTTTTTGCTGACCCCAAAAATGTTTGACTTTACCAAACGTGATGTCCTTCTCCAGGGACTGGTCTTTCTCGTGCTCTCTTTTTTTTATAATTTAAGTTTTTATTGTGAATTGAGTGATCGTTTACATGGGAGTACATCGGTTTTACATGCATTATTTCATTTCAGTGATTACAGTCTCCTCAATGCATCATCATTCAACAGTATTTGCTTCTATTCCCTCTGGGTTTTTTGTTTTTTTTGTGTGT